CCCATTGATTCCCCACCAAAGGGCTCTGTGGAAGCCATTCTACTTCAGCCTGAAAAGAAATCTTTGTCCCTGCAGCTGGTAGTGCCTTAAGATGCCGATAGTTGCCATATTTTTGGAAAATGTAGCAGTTTATCAGACTGTTTGACACGTCCCATTCAGCTGTATATTCTTGAGCATTCTCTAGTGTTTGCTTCCTCTTCTACATCAGTCTTATGAGTGTGAGGCTGGTCAGGAGCAGCCGGGCCTCATGGTGAGGTATGCTGGGCCAAAGTCATTTGGAGGCAAACGGTGAAGGAGGAGAAATCTGGAGTGCCGATGGTCATACTTGAAAATGGTAGTAATGGATTTAGCATTTGGGGCAGGAGGTATGGAATTTGTCATGCTGGCTTAGTATTTTCCTGGCTGTATTTCAGAACTGTTCAGATATTTTTAGTATGAAGTACAAGCAATGTTGTCTCAGTTGACCTTGGAGCACGACATTTGAACATGGCATTGGTTTGAATTGCTAATCATTAAAACGATAATTCATATTTTCTTATTACAAGAGGAACTAGAATTCTGGCCATGTTTTGCAGATGAGAAGTGAAGCAAACCAAAACCTGCCTTCTCTTGACTTGCAGTCCTTCATGATATTCATGTTTCTTAAACTACTGTCTTCATCTCTTCATACATCATTAAAAGTAGTTATGCCTAGCTTTGTTTTTGTCACTTGTCTTTTGGTCATTTGACAAGTATTATACCAAAATGACAGAAATTAATCCCAGGGTCTCACAGTGTTAAATGAGAAGCATAGAACAAAAGGATGGTTTCTGCTGCAAAAAAAATTTATGACCTTAATAGACGTTTATAGCTGTTATCTGGAAGGCAAGAAGTTGCTAACAGTATATTTATGCCAGCGATTTCTCCCTCTTTGCCTCTGTTCCCAGAGTAAAGTTTACCAGAAAGATCAAGCCTCTAAATGCCAAGTTCTGTTCAGCAGATAGAAGCAGTATCACCACATCAGGATATCAAATTAAGACATTTTAAGACACTAATGTACAATGAAGGAAGAAGGGTTAAATCAACCATAGTTATAGCTAAAAGTGTATGAAAGTTTGGATTCAAGTTTTCAAGTCCAAATTTATTTCAAGCTTAGTATCTTTTACTCCTAATGGTCTTTTTGAGTAGCTTTAATTTTTGGAGACTGTGTTCATTGAGTCTTACATTTGCCAACGTGAACAGGACCTCAGAGAAAATGAGAACCATTGTTAAGATGCATTTTACTGCCTCAGTGGTGCAGAAAAGCCTTTGGCTGAAAAAAGCATCAAGGTCTTGTTGACATTTTCTATCTATTAAATAAGCACAAACTCAAGTATCTGATGTAGATTCAAAGCAAATGGAAACACAGACACAGGAAGAAAAAGAAAAAGAAAAAGAAAAAGAAAAAGAAAAAGAAAAAGAAAAAGAAAAAGAAAAAGAAAAAGAAAAAGAAAAAAAAGAAAAAGAAAAAGAAAAAGAAAAAGAAAGAAGAAGAAAGAAAAAGAAGAAGAAGAAAAAAGAAAAAAACAGCCCTTCTGGCATGGTTTAAAGATTCACCAATCAGCACCAGAAGCTGAAACCAAGATGTGAATATAAACCTCTCTTTGACTGCCCTGGCAACTGAGAAGTCCACAACCAATTTCTAAATCACATGGCAGATCTCCCAATTAATGCCCAAAAGGCTGTTTCCTTGAAATCAGAGTCACGCTATAGTTCCTTTCATACATCGGAAGTGAGTAAATCAGTGAATAATGCAACCCCCTTCCTGTCTGCCAGAACTCTGCCAAACCAAGCACATGGGGCTGGGTTCAAGCAAACTGTTACTTGTTAAAGTAACGTAAAGGATTTGTGTTTTGGAGGGGTTAAAATTGCTCAGATAAAGGGAAAACTTACAGAAGATCCGCAGGTGCCTGCATGAATACTCCCCAGTCTCTCTGATGCGAGCTGGCAGGTCCCATAAAGCCACTCAGCCTTGAACAGGGAAGGGAAGGGAAGGAGGCAGAGAGTAAGAGCTCCAGCTGCGACTCCAAAGCCCCAGAAAGAGCCTCTAACCCAATTCCCTTCAAGTGCACAAGCCTCGCGAACTGCAGCATCTGTTTGCCACTGTATTCACCGAGTTCACAGGGCAAACAAAAGATCCATATCAAGCATGCATCCTTCCAGAGGGGGAAATCCTTCCTTCCTTCACCCATATATTTGCCTTTCTTTTCTTTCCGTTATTTTTTTTTTTTTCCAGGGGAGGTGAGGGAAAGGGGGGTTGTCACTAATTATTTTTTTTATAGTAATTAAGAGAGCTAACACCAGCTAGGCTAGAGTGAACGCAAACAAGACCCCTATAGGCAGCACAGTGCATTAATGTAAAATATGCCCAGACAACATAACTTGTCAGAGAGGATTATTTCTGCTTAGTGAATCTGCAGGGGCCCCTTTGCTCCACCACTCAGCGTCTGCCTAGAGAGAGAAAGAGTAGCCATTAGTGAGTAGCTACTGTGGCATTGATGTTTGAGCGCACTTCTGAACTGGCTTTTGTTGAGAATATCGGTGCAGAAAGCATGCGCTGTCCCAAATCCGCTGTTACTATGAGAAATGAGGAGCTGCTTTTAAGGTATGTTGTCTCCTTTGTTTTAACGCGTGCTTTCGAGTTGCCTGGGCCCGCTGCAACTATATCCGTGCTGGGTATTAAGTAGTTTCCCTATTTAAAGGAAAAGACAGGCATTGCTGCGTGCAGGGAGCGTTTCCATGAGTTAGAACCGCACATTTCATGTATGACGACAAATGTACGGAGAGGGCAAGGAGGGAAAATATAATATTTATGTATCTTTCTTTTTTTCTTTCTTTTTTTTTTTTTTTTTTCCCCTTAAATGAAAGGCGGTATTTCTTTTATCACCTCCTTTGCAATATTTCTGCCTGCCTCATTATTATGCACTGGGCATGGAATAAGCATGGAAAAAGCTCAGGGAGACTCCATATTAGAGCTAGTGCCCTAAATACCACTTTAATTTTCACTTACCCTATGTAAATAGTTATTAATGCTCTGCCTCGTCCTCTCCACTTGAAGATGTTTTAAAAATACATAGATACTTCTGCATGTGGGATTATACATATATTCTTTATGCTCCCAGGTTTAGCGGGGGGCCAGCACCGAGTTCTCTTTTCAGAGACACACACAAACACACACACACACACACACACACACACAGAATTATGCTGGAATTGGCACCCCGCTTTGAAAAATGTAGTCTTTTGTTTATTTGCTAGCAGACATCATAGCACTGAATACATCTTTTGGTCTGACAATGGGACAGCTGAACAATGGTGCTGTCAAACTAGCTTAATGTATGTCTGGCGATGGGGTGTTTTTGTTGTGTTTTTTCTTTCCTTTTCTCAGCCCCTTTTTCATTTCCCTTAATCTTTCTCTGTATGCAGTATAATATGAAGTCTATTGCCTAATTTGTGAAGGTTGTTTCATCTGAGATCCGCTGCTAGTAGTGCAGGGAGGGGGAGGTTTGCGTCTTACAATTATGTCCATGGCATTAAGTTGGAGATTTATTGGTATCATCCTCTCCTTTAACTGTGAAGAGAAAACTTATTGATTCTGAAAGCTTACAATACTGCTGTCAATCTGGCAAATGCATAGTTGCCAAATGTGCCCTTGCATGATTTTATGCCCGATCATATCAACTTTAACTGCTGTTTTGAAGATACTGCTTCTAATTTTGTTTAGGTAATGAAAATGCAATAAAAATGATAAATCAGATCTCAAAGTGGGAGCCTATGCTACTTTCCATTTTTATAATCCAGCTATTAGCATATGTTAGAATTTTTAAGGTCAGGCAGAATAATTTACCTGGATGATTCCTATTCATATCCCAAAATCTAACAAATTATTCATATGACATTTTGTGAATTATCTATCTATTTTGACAGCCATAGTTTAGGATCCGAACACTTAACAGTTTTTGTTTTGCATCTGGAAAAATGTTCACAGACATGATGCACTAGGAAAATAAACTGTTACAAAGCTCTTTAAAAATTTGGAGTCTTTACTTGAACAGCAGCCTGTGTCTTAAATGAAATGAATTGTCATCAGTCTCATGGAGTTTCTGAAGCTATGTAAAGCCTTTAAATAGTTTGCATCTTAAGTAAATGCATCACTTTCAGTTTAATTGTAGTCTTTACTTCCGAGAGAACAGGTAGATGGTTGTCAGTGTGGTTTATTTTTTGCTTGGATCAATTAATCTTAAGGGCTTTGTGATTATTTTTTTTTTTAATCTGGATCCTAGTGCATGATTTATACAGGGTCAGGACCCCTTAATTTAAAACAAAACAAAACAAAACAAAACATTAAAGATTTATTGGTACGGATCAAAACTTTCTAAGCATGTATTTTCAACAGCAGTGTTTTATGGGGAGACTCTGAGTGTTTGCTATGCTTCTTTGCATTTTTTCTATCGTTGTCTCATCTCCTTCCCTTGTGTGTTGAGATGGTATAAATCAATATGAAAGAGTTTACATGAATAATAAGGTAATATCGCATAAAATACGCCTGAAGCGTAGAGGTTATGGATTATCAGGTGGTGCCTGCATACTGTGTGCTGTGCATAAACATGAAGAGTGCACGGATTGTGTTTAGTACAACGGGACCATGCAGTAATTCACTTTCTTTGGAGAACTTCTTTGGAGCCAAACATTAACTAGTTCACAACTGCTCCCCACTGCCAGCACCGGGTGCGTTGTGTTTCACCAAGTTATCCGCCCGCAGTTTGTGCTCTCTGGCAGCTGATGCCCTTTGTGCCGGGAAGCCCGGTGAGCAGCTCGCTCCGCTGACATGGAAATTCCCCTTTGGTGACTGCCCAGAGTAGGGTGGGTGCCACATCTGTAGCAGACACCCAGAGACACCTGGGCAGCACACTCACCCTCCACTTACAAGGACTATTCAATACTAAAACTCTTTCCCAAGCGCTCTTCTCACAGGTGAGTTCATACTAAACTTTCAGTAGCTCCTCTGTTTTCAGATTAAATGCTGCATAAAATCCATAAAATGAAGATTTTTTACTTAGATTGCCAATTACTTTGTATTTTTCCAAAGGTGTTTTCTGACATTCCATTCATATCAAAGACTAATTTTTGAATTAGTCTGTGTGAATCCTGCTACCAAAAAAAAAAAAAAAAAAAAAAAAGTATGAATATTTACTGAAATACTGCTTTTTGAGCCATAACAATTATTATTAACATCAAAGAAAGTGAAGCAAATCTGTAACATATGCTATTTCTTAGCATGCCTGAACAAAATTGTTGGCTTTTGAGAGACTGTATAGGTTTAGAGCTCTCATGCTCTTAACATCACAGGTGTCCTCAACCTTACCTATGCTAAATCTCGCCCATTCACAAAGCAATGTGGTGCCTAGCAGTTGTCAAACTTGGCAACATCTGTTTCCATAACAGTGCTAAGAGAGCTAATACAGAGACTCTGCATGAGTTGTTATTTGTTCTTGCAATGACCAGGAGTAATGCCAAAAAGAAATACTGTCCTTGGTCATACCTGGTAGAGCAAGGTGCTAATGTGGGACTTGGCTTTCCATTCTGCCATGGGAAATGGAAGTGAAAGATATTTATTTATTAGCCTGGAATCTTTGCCTTTATTTTTTCAGGATTCACAAAGCACAATCTGTAACATCAACATGTTAATATTCTCTTTGTTAAATGAGAATAAAACTGAAGTGTTTCTGTTATCAAATTTAAGTATATAAGATTGCAAACTATACCGTTGGGGCTGAAAAACAAAGGAGGGCATTCAATTAATATTCATATCTAGAAGTTTTACTGCAAGTGTAGATTGTGCTTGAATACTTAAGAAGTCATTCAGAAGTGAATCAATACTAATTATTGTAATCAGGAGGGTTAATTAGCTGAAGATGCTGCTGATGGAAAGTTCACTGCTTACAGCCCTGAAAACACCTAAGTTGATGAAATCTGAAAGCAAGATGTCGAGGAGGACTTTGTATAGAAAGAAAGGCTTAGCTTTCCTTTGACAGTTGTTCCAAAGGGGAAGCGTGCCTTTTACTTTGTCTTTTGCATGATATTTATTTGGGGAATATTAGAAGATGCAACTAAATCTATCTTGATATTTTGTGGTAGTTTCTCATTAAATGCAAGTACCATTTTGGATAACCTGTACTGTCTCCACAGCATTCATTTGCAGATTACCATAAATTAATATGGATAATCCTATGCATTTGAAATCTTGTTCCAGCACTGTTATGGAAAGCAATTATTTTTATTTTCTTTGCCATTTATGTGCACGCATGGGGTCCTTCCATGTTCTGTATACATAAATTGCACATGCTCTCTGTCTAACATGCAGGTATACATCGGTGTGTATGTACACCACATGCACATGTGCACACAAGTTTAAACATTTGTTTATTGTGACTGTTTATTTCTATAATCCCCTTCCCCTAGAAGTTAGTTTTCATCTGCAAAAAATTATTCAACTACACATAATTCAGGGATGAGCTATTGAACAAGTAATTCATGAAATTTAAGTCAGATTATAAGGGATAAAAGCTGAAAACAAACAACAGAAGAAAACCATTATCTTTTCCCTTAATTAGAGCACTTGTGTTTCTTAAAGTGAGCGTTACTGAATTCAGGAACATCTAACTATACCAAATCATATCTCACAGATGAATTGTGGCAAGCTTTTTTCTCTTATGGTGGCTAGTTTTTGTGTTGTATTTTTTCCCTCTAGTTACATCTGCTAGGGTTATAACCAAGATGAATGTCTGGACATTTATCTGAGCACATTGTAAAAAAATAAAATAAAATCTCTCTCTTTCACACACACGCTCATGTAAACTCCCTGATGTGAAGTGATGTTTTTAAAAGAAAGAAATTCTGTTTCAAAACATATTCTTCTTCACTCTCTAATACATTAGAGATTATTATGTGCAGGTGCTGTTTGTCTTTGCAACTGCTTCCCTATGACTGTTTTACTGCTTCCAACACGTTTACTTGTATGTCAGCCATATAAAAGGGAACTGAAAATGGCAGCTGTTGAGAAAGCATGTCGCCATGCCTGGAATGACATGCATTATCAGGGCAGCAGGAGTTGCTGGCTCCACAGCCCATTCCGACTTGACCTGCTGAATGATTGGCTGCCTGGGATAGTGATGAATCGCTGGAGTTTATGAAACAGGACTGCTGGCATCCTCACAGAGGAAACAAAAGCTGGATTTTTCCTCTAACTCTCATGTCATGGCAAAAACACAGCTTTTCTGTTGTTGCTTTGCTTTTGTGTTACTTCACCCTGCAGCGGAAGCAAATGCAGCAATTAAACTCACTTTAATACTGGTCTTGGCAAGTTAATGCTGCGCTGAAGATTAACTCTCTTTCTGGGATGGATAAAGACAGTGAATGTCTAAGTAAGAATTTTCCCAAATTTAGGGTGAATCTTGATCTGGACCCTAATGTTTTCATCTCCCATTCCAGTCTTGAGACTTACATACCCTAAGTACTAATGAGCTCAAGCAGGATGCAGAATGGATTTTAGCTACTCTTACAACTTTATTCTCTCTGCTCTGCTAAGGAGCAGTGACCATTTCTTGGGCTAATATCAGACAGATGCATCTTCAGGTTTTCTCAACTAATGGCCAAATTAACATTGCTGGAAAGCATCGGCTCTCAAATTTGCACTCAGTGTCTAGGTGGTTCATGAAATTATATTATGCATTAAGACCACATTACTGGATTAGGCTCTTAAGAGTCAGTACTTGTAGGAAAAAACTGTGGTCTGTAAACCTGCACTGGTGCACCAAGAAAGACACAGTATGGATCACAAGCTGCCCTGTAAAACGCAGCCAAGTAAAAAATGATCCTTTTATTTCAATTAAAGCACCCAAAATTGTGTTTAGGAGTGGGATTACTTGCTTGTCTGTCCATGCAGCTAACTTGGTGCTGGTGTGCTAGCCTGTGTCTCTCATTCTGGTAGAATAAACTAATTTTAGGTCAATTCTCTGATTCAAAGGAATAGGATTACCAAAAAAATTGCTTAGGAAGTTTTAAATATTGCACTTATATGAAGATAATGCTTTCTGCTGTTACATTAGAGAGGGTTTTTCCTGAGTCTTACGCTTTGCTGCCTAAGCTTTTCTCCTCCAGTTCTAAAAAGCAATTTGCATGCTTGCATTCGCTATTAGACTTTTTCACCTTCCTCCAAATAATTCAGCAGTGGCTGCTGCTAGGCTCTGGATGCCATAGAGGCTGAATCGCTTCTGTTATTTAAGTCACATCCTTCTTGATGTCCCTGCAACGATTCTGAAACTGAGGAGGGCAAACTTTTACCGTACGGAAAGTGGTGGCATCAGGAACTGTTGCATGTGCCTTTGGGTGCACAAGGGGGAAACACTGTCCTTGCTTCCGAGTTCCCATGGCAGCAAATCAGCAGGTCATCTTTGAGAGCAGCCTTTGAGGATGCCAGACAACAGTCTGTCACGAGGAGGAAAACAGAGCAGAGGGCTGGAGGGGAAAAAATAACAGAAAATCTGAGAGGGAACGTGGGAATTTGCTATCCCTTTTAGACAAATAGAGGAGAGAAGAGAAAAGCAAGGGCATCCTGACGTGGATCATCTGGAAATTGAACCTTGCAAGTGTAGATAGCTGTGGATGATGCCATGGCTGTGCTATGGAGTGAATTTAAGATTCAAATCCTGCACCTGCTCTCCCTGGAAGCTGCAGGTCAGCATCTGAAGAATTGAAGACCTCTAGAAAAGAAACGGTGAATTATCAGAAAACTTACATTCTAAGAGACTCTATTTTCAACAATCTCTTGGTTTCGTTTTCTTTCTCTTCTGCCTAAAAAATTATCTATTTTCAGTTAAAATGCGAGGAAGAAGCTCACTCTAAAGCTTGAAAATTTGCCTGCATCATTTCAGCCCACATTTAATTTTAATGAGAGAGTTATATAACCTCCTTTAAAAATAACAAAACACTAACAGAACTGCATTGGCAACATCAGGTGTTCTGCAGAACTGCTCAGATGAATCATATGGAGATCTGCCTGTGAACGTCTGATGAACACACATTTAACTTAGTTAACCCCCACGCCTGAATGTAGCAATCCAAAGTGACCAAATTTTTTTCTGACGAGTTGTTTTCACAAAAGGATACCAAAATAGTTGCCAGCCTTAGGGCCTCATGGCTAATCATTTCTGTGCTATTTAATGGATTCAAAAGTTCCATATGAATTATTGTGACTATACAAAACAAACAAACAAAAAAACAAACAAAAAAAAGTGAAAATTTTATGTTAAAAACTGAGCTAGCTGGTTTTTAATGTCTTGCTTCAGAACGGGAAGCCAGCATTCCTATTTGTTGTACTGAGCCTGAAATCTCTGAAATTGTTAAGAGCATCCCATTAACAGGCAGCTCTGGGAGAAATAAACATTTGACTTTATAAATGTTCCTTTGGGAGAGAGAACTCAGGGAAAAAGAAATCAGAATCGGTGATTGTGAACCTGTTAAACAACTTGGTTTGGACTCAGTCTTTGACTTCAGAATGTCCCCAAGCAACTGGTTGCTGGAAGATAGAAAGGATGACAGTACACTTGCCCTACTCATTCTCTATCTCTGCGCATCCATTACAAGCTATTATCAGTGACAGGGCATGGACTAGGTGGACCTTCTGATCTGACCTATGTGACAATCCTCACAATGCAGGTTTAGGGAAAAAATAAAAATACAAACAGGCAGGGTGCAGTTTTCTGCACGTCCAAATGCATTACAGTTGCTGTAGGAGCCTTTTCTTTCTTCCCTTCATGTCTGATTTAATGGATTCTGTCTGCAGGAAATAACAATGTCAAACAAAGCTAGTTACTTTACATATTATCAGAGTGATTGTTTGTTATTTCTGAGGACCAAGATGTATGCCAGGCACTTCACTAACAAATGAAAAAAGACCTTAAAGATGTTGCAAATTGAGTGTAAGGCGAGGGCCAATTGTTGGCAGTAAAAAGGAAAGAAAAACACGTGGCAGCAGTGAATGGAAAGGAAGACAGAGATGAAGATCCTGCAGTTACTCAAAGGTGCATGACAGAAGATTAATTTAGATCCTGTAATAAACCCCACAAATTTGTTTTCATTTGTTTTTTTAAAAAAAAGTCTACTTCTGGCTTCTTGTCTCTTTCAGTGTCCCTTATCCATCCTCTTGCCATGCTGCTGTCATATCGTAATTTTACAATTGCCTTTGCCCATTGCTTTGGGAATTGCTTCCCTTAGCACTAACTCCAGATCCAGCACTTACCTGTACCCAGCCCATACACCCTCTTCCACTGTCTCTCCCACAACAGCCAGCCTCCAAGCTGGACAAAAACCTTCAGGAATCTCAAATTGATAATAAAATGGGGGAGTTTTTATTGTCTCCTAGTAGTTGTCACAGTGACTTCGCACTAAGATATGTTTGATTATGGTGGGCTTTTCCCCTGCCCAGTGAAGGCATTTGTGAGAATGGAGTTTCACACATATGAGCACCCATCTTGTCTTACAAGCTTATGCTTCTTCGCCTGAAGATACTACAAAAGCCAAATCCAATCATATGAAGTCTCCATTATAGGTTGCTCTTCTAGAGTTGTATGGAAATGTGGGTTCTTTTTGCTAAAGTACCCATTATTTAGAAGGAAATCAGATTTGCCCAGAGCATGCAGAACCCTTTTTACTTTACTGGTGGGGTTGCAGTTGGTGCTGGAATCAGTGAGTGGCAATACAGTTCATAAAATATAAAATAAAATTTAAAAAAAAAAAAAAAAAAAAAAAAAAAAAAGAGGAAAAGGGGAAAAGGAAACAGGAAAAAGAAAAAGAAAAAAAAGGATAAAGAAAAAGTCAATGCCTGTTGCCAAGTTTGTGAGAGGACTGGGTTGGTCCTGTGTACCTACGCACAAGGCACTATACAAAGGCAACACTTACAGATCAAAAGCCATGCTCTTCAGTAGGGTTGTAAACAAAACAACAGGAAGGTGACTCTGGGTCCTAGATATTTAGATTGCTACGGAGAGCCCAACTGGAACACATGATGGCCAGATGCTCAGCAGGATTTGACTCCATTAGTCATAAGTGACCGTCCCAAGTATTTGAATGCTGTTAGCAAAGTTGGGTGTTCCTCCAAAGCTTTGTAAAAGCCCTCAGTAGCCTTGAGTGTCCACCTCATGCCACAACACCTTGCCTAATTGTTTCACGAAGATTGAGTTATTACCTGCGAAATGGAATAAAGGCCTCATACCCAGAGTTTGATAAAATCACCCCTACAGTGTATAAAATAGAAAGGAAAAAAAAAAAATGAGTAGGAAGTTTTACTATAGCAACCAAGTTTACATAATATCAGTATGCTTCAAGTGAAAGCTCTAGAAATGCTTAATTTGAGGTACCTTTTTCCAGGGCTAATTTTAAATGAGGTTTATTTCTGAAAATTACTGATTAGCTGCTACTGAGTAGCCCATTGGTTCCTCCTCAATAGCAACTAAGATTTCAGTACTCAAAATTCATTGATCAGTTCTAGCTAATAATTTAATTTTCTTTCAAAAGCTTTTGGTTGTGTGCAAACTGTTCTGTATCTCAAAGCATGATGAAGGGACATATGTTATGTGGGGTTTTTTTGTTTTAGGAGAAATCATAAAGCAAATAAAAATTCCTTACTCAAAGTTTAAAGGTTTGTAAAGCAAAACTTTATTCCAATGTCAAACCTAACTGTTAAAGATGGACTTGTTACAAATAATCAAAGTACTTGCAAAGGGTAAAATTGTACAGAATTGGGTCCATTACGTTGGCTGCTCAAGGAATTTTACTGCTTTCCACATTAATTGCTTACTGCTTTCACACAATTATGCAGCTCTGCACAGATGCTTTGTTCAATTCGTGCTTGTGTGCTTTGCTTTTCTTTCCACTGCCTTTCTTGAACCTCCAGAAGTGAAGCCCATAGATTTTCTGGTCACTGATAGACAGGCATGCTCATTTCCTACCACAAAAACAAGATGCTCTATTTTCCTCTATTAGCCATGCTACTCTTTCCCAGCTCATGGCTTACCCAGGAGGTGTTTCTTTCTGATAGATAGCAAACACCTGATTTGCATTGGTACTGGTACTGGCACTGGTACTATCTGGACGAGATTTCCTTTTCCACTTGCATTAGTGCAAGATCGTGAGTGATTCCACCAGAGTCACTTGAGCCTGTTCTGAATTTGCACCACCACTGCTGAGATCTGATTCTGCCTCCTCTCCTAAAAACTTGCTTTGATGCCAGAGATAAGCTGAATCCAGAGCATGTTCATTGGCTTAGGGGAGAGTAAAGCAGAGGATTTGAACTCTCTTCGTGCTGCCTTGCAGGCTTGGTGGAGTGTGAAGTCACTCGGAAACTTTCCCTTGAAGTGATTCCAAAGGTAGCATTTCCTTGGTGCAACACTGGGGGGCAAGTTGATTAAAAGAATGGCAATTAAGGAATGAGTGAGAAGCAGGATTTGGAGAGGTGAGCACTACGCTGAATTTGGCTGTGGTACACGGAAGGCAAAGGATGAGAATGGTGGCGGTGATGTCAGAGTGAAATCATATATTGAGTGATCCGACAAGTCCTTTGTCTTTCTCCAGCCCTACCTCTATTGCGTGGGTTTCTTTTTGAAGAGGTGTTCATTTTCAAAGGCTGAATTGTTTGGAGAATTGCATCTAACATTATCAGTTTGAAAAGCCTTTTAAATGGTGACTAATCTGCAAATGGGAGGTAGAACTGCTCCATCTGCTTTGTTAGGTGCATGGAGAAACTGAGGCACTGAGAGTGCAACCGTGGAACAGATGGGGTCTGGGCCTCTGAAATGAGGGCACGTTGGGGAAGAGGCATTTGTAGCTGGAATGGAGTTAAATTCCCCAAACTGCTGATTCCAAATTCCAGGTTCCTTCCTTAAAACGGCCATATGCTCCACAAGCTGAAAATGCTTAATATCAGTGGACAATGGTTGCACAGCAATAATGAAGCTCCTCTAAGCTCTTGTTTACCTCTATTGTCTGATACATACTGTGAAAATTAGTGCAGCTTCATTTGCTATTACCCCTCTTCATTTCTCTCTGTACTGTAGTAACAGACCAAAGCTTCAATTTTTTTTACCTCAGCAGTGTTCCTTCATTTTTAATAAAAGTTGCTATTTTGCACACTAGTGCCCATCAGGAATGTGGTAATACCGTTACAGATAACAGAGCCAACGTGCAGATTCTTCTTGTTGATTTATTTTATTTCTCCATATTTGAGACTTAATTCATACATACGCACTATATAATTTATGTTTGAGAGCCATATGATCTGAATGCAGTTTCTTCCTATAAGCTTTCCTTGAGTCTTATCTCAGTATCTTTTATAGGCTGGGTTTCTTTTTGCATTTGACCCTGTTCCTGCCTCTAACTTTTAAATGGCAAAAGCAAATGTGCTTTGAAAAGTGTGTTACACTGTAGTTGTTAAATAAAGCAATAACCTATGCACTTGTAATGCTTTCTCTATGACCTACTTACATACTACTTCACCCTCCTTATAGTATGATTAAAAGCTGCTTTGAATCCACTATTCCCTCAAGGGATTTGAGGCTAGAATTTAACAAACTGCTGAGAAGGCTTAAGTCAGTAAGAGGGCTTCCCTACAGCTTCTTCCAGCTAATTCACATGTAATTAAAAGGAAAATAAATATTTCAAAAGAACATACGTTCTAATGAAGCATTTTTAAGCACTTACACCTTGTGAAATGGGGTGGATTTATAAAGAACTCACTATCTCATGGTCAGATTTCTAACAAAATCATTTGTGATGCTTCTCTGCTCCCCATCCTTTCTATCCTATGACTTTTCAGCCAGCAGCGGTGGGAATGCAGACCTTGAAAGTGGCTGGGGAGAGTGACGTCTCTCAGATGTAGCACCAGCAAAGCGATGGAGAGGTACGGATCCAGCCACACGGGGTGAAGGGAGGGTGGAGACTTCTTACAGGAATATCTTCATCCTCACAGAGCTGTCTGCATTTCTCCCCAGCTAAAACCTGCCTCTTCTGCAGTGGCAAGATTTTGAAATTGAAAGTTAATCCAACTCTGCTCTGGGCTGGATTAACCACCATGGAGGCCTCAGATCAAAACCCAGGTGGCTGCATCCAGCTGGAGAGAGCTGTGCTGGTTTCTCCTTTTATTTCCACTTTGCACTTATTTTTTTATCCTCTCTTTAGGCCCACGCTCTGGCGGATGGCTGGCGGAGAGGAATTGCGATCAATGGAGTAAAGGAGAGGCATAGCTTTGCTTTGCGTTTCTCTACAGAGATGTTTAGGTGCCACGGTGCTGAGGACAGTATGCAAACATATAGAACAGAGCAGATTAATAACACCATAGATATCTGTGCAGGACTGCAGCTGTCCTACGGGGATTACGCTGAGGGCCAAGCAAACCTTTTCTTTCTTTAGACTTGCAAAGTAGGCAAAAATTTTAGCAGCCTGAGGGTTTTTTCTTCCTTTTTAACTATTTAAAATGGAAAAGTACCTTGAAGAGTGCAATAAACCGGACTCTGAAAACTCGCCTAGTCTGTATTTTTATCATCAAATCGATGGTGGTCAAAATTTAACTAAAACTTGGTGCGATTTATAGCATACTCATGCATTGGCTTGCCTTAATTTTATTCTGAAATACTACTCGAAAAGTTTAAGTGTAGTAGTGCTTAATCAGTGTTTGTTGCTTTTTTTGAGTGCTGATTATCTGGAACAAATAGAATTATGAAACGTGGAGAGAGATTCAGAATGAGAAGCAAATACAATGCAGATAAACATTTTGTCTGTCTAGACTGCTCAGATCTTTCAGTAATCTTTGCAAATATGTTAATATTCTTTCGCCTGGAGCTGCTATGTACTGAAGCAAGGAGGTTTTGGGAGAGGCAGAGGAAAATTTATACAGATTTTCAGGGGGCGGAAGCGTGGGGGGGGGGGGGGGGGGAGGGGAGGGAAGGGAAGGGGGGTTGCTTCTCCTGTCTGTATGTGTAGAGTTTGGTGTACATCTTAGCGATGCCACTTCTGTGCCTTTGCTGTGGACAGCCCTCAGTGCAGCATGACTGGGAAGGGGCTTCTGGTGTGTTACAGATGTGAGGGTTTGCTGTGTAAAATCCATTGGTACCTGCCAAAATCCTGTTTTTTGATCAGGTGGGGCTCATTGCCACAGCATCACCTCACGAAGCAGTGGCCCCAGTTTGGGCGCTGAGGTCTGAACCGTTTGGGTGGGCAGAGCCCACCGATATATCCATCCCCTGTGCCCTCTGCGCCGTGAGACGTCTGCACCTTCCTACCCCACACATCCCCCCCGTGACAAGAGTGGGGAGGAGGAGGGGGCAAACCGACAGCTCGAGGTTTTTTAGGCACTCAGGATGAGGGTTTCCCCTCAGTGCCATCTGCAGCTCCAGCAGGGCAAGGCTTGGCGAGACCTCCGTGCCCGAGGAAGGGGCAGTCGGCGGAGGCCCCGCTCGCAGCCTCAAAGTTTGCGCGGTGCTCGGCGAGGCTCGCGCTCTCCGCTCGTAAGCCGGGCGCGGCGGCGGGACTCCCGTTAGGCCTCTGCCCGGAGCGGCGGGGCCCGCCGGGGGCTCAGGGGTTAACGGAGAGCTGCAGCGGGGAGGTGGCTCCGCCTCCCCGCTCAGCACCTGGCGCTTCACCGACAGTTGCCTCAGCAGTCGATTTCGGAGGGGATTGGCGGAAAAACCAAGAGGGGGAGAGAAATGTGACAACTGCCGGGGCTGGCGGCTGCTGCGGGGAGGCCTCCGCACCTGTGCCTGCCTCTCCGCCGCCCGGCGCAGTTGTGGGATCCGGCGAGCCCCGCCACATCCTCCCTGCAGACCGCCGCCGCGCCCGGAGCGCAGCATGACTTCTTCGTTCAAGCTGGATTTCCTTCCGGAGATGATGGTCGACGGCCGCTTGCTGGTCTCTGATAGAATGTAAGTGGCACTGGGGCTTCTTCCCTCCTCCCTGCCAACCCAGCCGAGTGCCTCGCAGTTGCTTTGTGCTCCCCAGAGGGCCGGGCAAGGGAACGCTGGGCGCCGTTGGTGCCAAGGGGGGGAAACGTGAGCGTCGCTGCGCTCGGGCTGCGTGCTGTGGAACCGAACCCCGCTCCTCGAAGCCCGGTCCCGCTTCGCACGTCCTGATGGAGCAGCAGCTGCAGCTGCGAGCGCATGGGACTGAGAGCAGGCAGAAAGCAGGGCTCTTTTCTTCTTCTCTCCCTCTGTATTTCTTAAGTTCCGCCAGCTGTCTGGTGCAGGCAGCGCTAATTAGCACGAGGCTGTGCTTTACGTGCAGTTGGAGCGGTGATAAGGTTTATCAGGAGGTGCCGAACGCTGGAATTTCAGGCAGAGAAGCGTTTCCTAGTCTCCTGTCTCTGCTCCATTAATCTCGATCTGAAAGTTTCTGTGATCATCCTCTTGGGCTTTGCCAATTGACAGGAATTTTCAGGTAACCTCAGCCTCGTTGGGGGGGAAAAACCAAAAGCTAGGAAAAGGGGGAACGCCGAAAGATACAAACGCTGAGCGCTGTGCTGCGTTTGTACCGTTTCTAGAATGCCTTTTATTTTGTTGCTTTTTCTTTCTTTCATCAGGATGACAGTTGTGGTTTGAGTTGCAGGAGAGTGAAGCGAGAGGCTTTGGCATTGAGTCTGCACTGGAGCTATTCTGGTTGAAGCAGCGCTTAAGTTACAAATGTAAATAAACCCGGGCGTGCTGCAGACTGTCACCTGCGATTTGCACAAATCGGGTTGTCTGCTGTGCCCCCATCCAAGACGATTTTGACTTTTGTTACCTCTTTTACTGGCAACAAACTTTCTGCTCAGGTGGTATGCTTCCTTTCCTGTCTGAGCAAAGGCATTCGGCAGTAGGCAGTTGTTCAGGCAGCTGGGATTTAATAAGTGTGATAGAGAAGGAGCAGGGGCAGAACCTCCTTCGTGTGAACGACTGTACAGTTTTTTAGTCTTCAGAGGACAACAGAGTGTGTAAATGCTGCCTGTTTCCTCTGGTTAGTGATCTTAATTCAAATGAGTTCTCTGTTGTTTTTGCTCTCTCCTTCCCTTTAAGGTCTGCCTTCTTATTGGTATCGGTCAGCTAGGCTGAGTTGAAAAAGGTGCTGTATTTCTCTCCTTTTGCATAAAAATAACATAGGGTTTGACTGATGGGGCACAAAGTTGCACTGAACGTTCAGTTCGCTTGCTTTCCAGCTCTCTGTAGGGTCTTGCCACAGCCACACTTTCCCTTGTCTTCACTGTCTCTGCTTTGATTAGACTTTCTACCTGCTGTCCTTCCGGGCAATGAGAAAAGCTGCCTCTAACAAACATCTGCAGGCTCAGAGGCATTATTAACTGCATCTGATGATGCCACGTTATTACTTGGGCTTATATAACTTTATCTCTAACTTGCCCCTCAAGGGGGGAGTACCATGTCAGACTCTTGGTTCTGCACACTGTCTGTGTCTGGGAGACATCCATGGTGTATTTTAACACAGTTTGAAACACGGTCGGTGTTCATCAGGCGCAAGTCTACATGTATGTCCAAAGAGACAAAAATGACTAGATATGTCAGGTTTGAAGCACATCTGTAAATACTGGGGTGGGACAATGAAACTGAGGGGGAATTGCTCCCACACACACGCATTATTTTTTTTTGTAGAATTTGATGCTGGTCCCTCTTATTTGTTGCGGAGAGCACTTTTCTTGAAGAAAAAAAACTTCCTGCATCTTTAGTGGTTGTGTTGTGTTGTTCTGGAAATGCTGCCTCCTTGTATTAGCCAAGCTTGCTTTGCTGCCAGTCGAAGTAATTGTGGAGATTGTATGATTTCAAGGGATCATGTGTCATGCATACAAATTAATGTTGAGAGTAAATCCTTGTTAACTAAGAGAGCGTCCATCCTGAAAAAATCTTGAAAATAAATGCTCTCAGTGGAGGCTTTCCAATGCCACCTTTCTAAAACTGTGTAATTTGCTGTTTAAACTGTTATTTCGTCCTTCTAGCAATGTGCATTTATGTGCCAGTCCCCAGCTCTCTGGACTAATCAGTGCTGAAGAGAATGCAGTTTGATTACGCATTAAGGGTCAGGGGCATATTCACACCTTGCCCTTTGGCTGGCCCACCCCAGATGTGCATTGAGACACCAGCAGCGTGCTGTGCTGTGACAGTACAGCGCAGAGCATACTTGAAGTTATGATGCAGCACAAAACTTTTAACCTCGCCATCTGGTCTAGCCATTGAGTATAGCTTCGTTCAGTCTTTAGCAGAAAGGAATTTCCTATTTTAGAGTGAGGCAATTAGCGAGATGCATGTAAAAATCTCTTCTGTTTCGCAGTGAAAATTTGCAGAATAGGATTTTATTTTTTTTTTATGCCACTGGAAAATCAGGAATTGGTGCCATGCAGTATCACTTACACTTCACATTGTTTACACATTCAAAGGTTCTTTGTAAAAGGGGTTATTTTCAGTATTATATGTTCTTTCAACATGCAGTAGGGAAGGAGAATTTTCATTTTTCATATCTATTTTGAAAATCCAATGCTAGCTTGGTAGTGAAAATACTCTTACCTCTCTCAAATTAATTCCTCTCAAATGTTGCAGCCTTCTTTGCTTTGCTGCTGCTGCTATCTAGACAAATATAAGTAAAACAACATCAGATACTTTGGGCATGATTATTTAGTGTAATTAAACCATATGCATAGCATTACTGTGCCTGATTAGTAACTGATTGGCAGTTTTACTGAAGAAGAAAAAAAAATCATTAATAGAAAATAGCATTGAAAAATAGACGCTCCAGAATATGAAGCATGAACTTCTTGTTCTTGAGGGTAGATGGCAAGTTGGATGCTCCGTCCATCACAAATTCTTGCCGACATCATTTAATGCTGTAACTGAAAGATCAGGAACTGTTTGATGTTATTCAGAGCTTGCACGTGTTGTTTTTGAGGAAGAACCAAACATGAAGATACAAATGGAAGTAAACGTGTGTATTTGGGCAGGTTTGGAGAGGGTTAATGGTTCCTAAATGCAGTTACAAAGCATGAGTTCATTGTAATTTGCTTAGTAATTTCACTGAGTTACCTGTAGACTCCAACAATATGGTTGTAAAGTGGTTGCTTTGACTATTAACTATTCATCATTGTAAACCCCTACATTGATTTGTGCATTTGTGCAATACCACAAAAGATTTTTGGTTTCATAATGCATGTTCTGCTGCCTGGAATTTCCTTTAATGTAAATGACAAATAGCCCTTTTTACTACCAAGGCAAACTCAAATTTTACTGCAGTAGTTCATATCTGGGTATCATGTCAATAAAATGTGATACCCTTGTCAGATGGCTTACAGCAGTTCACATGCAGCTGCTTGGGTTCCGTAGCAATTATGCATGAAAGGTATTAACTGTTGAATTCCTGTCTTTTTTTTTTTTTTTCCCAAGATAAGTCAGAATCAGATAAGTGCAATGTGCTGATTTAAAAGGCAGTGAAGATCAATCTTCAATACTCTTTGCATACATTGTTTAATAAAGAAAGGATGTTGTCATTCATGGGTTGCTTGTGCACTTAACAAACAAAACCTTTCCCCACTAAACGTGCAAAACAGGGACTTTCCCAGCGTAAACTGGAGGTCACAACATTTTTTTTTCAACTTCACCTCAGGGGAAGCTCAGCATTCTGTCAGAACTAATTTATCAGCTACCTGTTTCTTTTGTACGTAGAATGTCAAACCATGAGTTGCTTACTGAAAATGGATATCCTGCTATCAGCTGTTTTGAATCCATACCCTCACCTTTGTACTGGCATTTCTTTAACTTTGGTATAGCAGTAGATTTATTTGAAGTATTGTGGCTTGTTACTTAACCGTAACTTAATGGACCACGATTCCCTGGGTCATTGTTGAGAGTGCACTGAAAGGAAAGGAAAATTCTCGATCGTTTACAAGGATCTTCAGAAGGGAAGGCAGATCTTTAGGTATCAGCTGAATGATTATGGTTTTGGGGTGCCTTCTCCCCATCCTCTTTCCTAGTAACTGACTAGAGTCGCATTCAGTATTTAGCCTGCCATAACTCTTAGCACATTAATATTTAAATATATCTTTCACTTCCTATGATGTGATCTCACAAGTTTTTAAGCCTCCCCCACATGTATTCATCATCCAAATTAATCATCACTTATGATTGCTTTAAAAACTTTGACAAGTCTAAATATTTCATTGGCATTTTAGGATGTTTGATATTTTATAAGCATATGGACTATTCAAATTTCATAATTAATTCATAGGTTAGTATAAAAATACTTCACCCAACTGGTATAGGAGAAAGGTGTACAAAATTCAGTGGTTTTTAAAAACTCCTGGAATAAAAGGAATACATCTTGGCAAGATTCTTCTAGAGAGGATCTTATAACTTAATTTTTTTTTCCCTATAAAGCAGAGAGATGAATTATTATTATTTTTTTTTACTTCCTTTATTTCTACAGTTTCCTATAGTGGATTATTTCTTGTGTGTACATATAATTGCATCTTCTGACACTGCTTCCTTTGATTAAAGCGGACTGGTGGCTGGGTAAGGCTAACAGAGGCTCAAGTCACAATGTATAGAATGCATACATAGAGCGAGGATGAGCTTTACTTAGCAAAGATGTGGGAAAACAAGAAAAAAGCCTTCATAGGTGCAGAAAAATGCAGGACTTAGAATGCCTACTTGGAAAATAAAAGCTAATTAGGGCCATAAATGTAATGTTCTCAAATAATTGTGAAATAATTATTCCCCTTTAGAATCTTCGTACTTTAATTGCTTTTCCCCCGCATTCTGCATTCCTATGTAAAAGGAATAGAAGCATTCGTGTTCCCTCCAGGATTTCATTTTTCATTTGCAGTAAGCTGCTGGCTTTCTCATAAAGGTTTTCAGAAATATGTTGCCTTAAACGGTGTTGTTCTTCCATATGGTGTTAAATATTATAGGTGAATGGCAGATGTTGAAGTGATAAATTCTCTCCTCTCGTCCAGATAAAGCACCTTGAGATTTAGTCGTGTAGTTTCTCCATTCTCTATATCACAGATTTATAATCAATTCCTCATTTTCATTGAAACTGTATTACATAAATAGGACACTTCAGCAGTGTATTCTCTTTGCTCACAGCTTGATCCTTAAAAAATCAGCTGACAATAGTTTAAAATTATAATATTAATAAAGAGAAGATCATCTGGCCTTCAAAATGACATCTGAAAGCAGCTTCTGTTTTGTGTTAAATCTTAATTACTGTATTTAAATGAATGCCTAAATGAGCCAATTCACAGAGGAGTTGCATACTGTACCACTAGTGCCTGTTTTGGTTATTTTTTTTTTTTTTAATTTTTTTTTTTTTTTTTTTTATTTGGATTTAGACAAATTAAAAAAAAAAAAAAAAAAAAAAAAAAAAAGCTTATACTGAAGCTCTGTTTTCTTGCATCCTACAACTCAGATGAAGATCAGGTATCCTGAGTCTGGTCCCTGCTATGGGACAGTTTCTCTTGTGTGGATCCCCTTGCCCAAAAAATGATGATAGTGCTACTTGATGCCAGGTTCAAGGCAGTGCTTCCTGAGAAACCTCAAAATCAGCAGGAAGGACTCTGCATGGCCTCCTGACCATTACTTTGTGAGCTCACCCATTGCTCCCTATAAGGGGCAGCATATTTTCTGCACTGGAAGGACAGAGTTTTTTTTGTTTTTTTTGTTTTTTTTTGCTTAGCACCAGGCAGGGGCTTCTATGCCATGCTTGTACATGCAGCCCTGCTGGATCCCTCACCCTGAGAGGAGGGCAGCAGTGTCCAGCTGTTCTCCGCTTGTCCTTCCTTCTGCTGCCACCTGGGATGCTCCATCTGTTGTGAAGAGGTATGCAGGGAATTCGTGTCCTTTCTTGCCCTGTTGTGCTGCAGAAGTTGAGCTGCTTCACATTGCCAGAAGAACAGCAGCCCAAGTGTTTCATTCTCATTGTTTTCACGTCCCGGTTCAGTTCTTGGATTGTTCTCTGAATCTTAGTGTGAGGTGTTAAGGTTTGTGACATTAGTTATTTCCATAAATGCAGCCCTTGATCTGTAATGAAATGATATTAGTAATCTACTGATTTTTATTTCTATTTTTTTCCTCACTGTGAATTACCGTGCTAAAGCAAATGCAGCTCTGACAGAAGGGCCTACCACAGAACATCTCTCAGCAGTGTTAGCAGGTCATTGCAAAGCTAATCTACAGCTTTCTCAGTTTCTTGCCACTTAGATACAATGACTTCTGTACAGAGGGGTTGGAGTGTGGATAAGATCTATCCCTGTTGCCCAGCTGTGTGCAGCTCATTACCCTCTGGGTGTAAGAGAGGCAGTTCCTGCTGAACCAACCTTGAGCATTTCTGCCCTAAACCACACTGTGCTGTTATTGCTCTCAGTTACTCTATCAGTGTTCTTTAAAGCGGTTCCAGACTGGTTGCAAGTCACAGCTGATGAGCTATCTTTTCTTATATAACCTTGAAAAAGAACAAGGAGCCTTCATCCTCCTAATCCAAAGGCGTGATGCTGTTGTCTTGTTTGATACACACTCGCTCTTTCTGTTTCTTGCTTCTCTATGGCTCTGCACCACTGACTCACTCAGAGATGCAAAAAAATAAAAATAAAAATTAGCAGCTCGCTTGACCCACCACTCGTGCCATTGACTGCAGACCTCTCTGGCACGTGGTCCAGTGGCACTGGGTGGCCTGGCGTCACATAAGTGCACTTCATTTCCCTGAAACAGACCCAGGTAATTGAAAATTATTAACTTCTGGCAGAGGATAACTGTATTTGAAATATCTACAAAATCAAGAGGTCTATTCTGTTCTTCTCTTTAATTTATTTTTTTTTTCTGGCTCATTCAGTTGCCTAGATCTGTCAGCTTTCCTCTGTAATTCATTGTTAACGAGAGAGACATCTGGCTATGCCCTTTATCAATAAACGCTT